GAAAAAAAGTGGCTATTTTTAGTAACTTTCTCAAGTTTTCCCTGTAAGGAAGTAGTGAGTGAGCTTTGTGTGTGCGTGTGTGTGTGTGTGCGCGTGTATGTGTATGTCTCTGTGTGTGTGTGTGAGTGAGCGATAGAGAGCCTTAGCTGAGTAATTCGATCCTTTCCTCTGTGTTCTACCTCTGTGTCTTTTTGTCTCAGTCAACCACAGGATAAAAGGACTACAGGGCAGTTTGGCAGGAATAACAAACTCCATATGTGTCATAGAGCTAGTTTGGGGAGGTGTGTTTGTGTGTATACATGTATGTGTGACAGTCACTATTCAGCCTCTCAGGAAGTCAGTCAGTCTAACTGAATGTGCCCTGAGCGCATGCACGACAGTACAGTACACTAGCCACCTGTGGGCTCTGGATTGATCCACTTGACTTGAAGGCTTCCGCCTATAATTGAAAAACATTGGCTGAGACCTTTATGAATTAACCACAGGAATTGATGAGAGAGAGAGAGCATTCACAGTCAGCCCACTGACACCCCTATCAGACCACAGCAAAATCACAGTCTACTTGAACAGAGCAATACTCAATCATGAGGCATCAAAGCCAAAGGAACTGAATAATATTAAGAAATGCTATAGATGGAAGGAAAGTAGTGTCGAAACCTACCAAAAAACAATTAGGCAACAACAAATTCAATCCCTTTTAGACAACTTCCTGGACAAAATGTTCCACTCTAATAGTGAAGGTGTAAACTTGGCAGTAGAAAACCTAAACAGTATATTTTACCTCTCAGCTTCCCTATCAAATCTAAAAATCTCTAACAGAAAACCGAAGAAAAGTAACAACAGTGACAAATGGTTTGATGAAGAATGCAAAAACCTAAGAAAGATATTGAGAAACCTATCCAACCAAAAACATAGACACCCAGAAAACCTGAGCCTACGCCTTCACTATGGTGAATCACTAAAACAATTCAGAAATACACTACGAAAAAGAAGGAACAGCATGTCAGAAATCAGCTCAATGTAATTGAAGAATCCATAGACTCTAACCACTTCTGGGAAAATTGGAAAACACTAAACAAACAACAACACGAAGAGCTATCTATCCAAAACTGAGATGTATGGGTAAACCACTTCTCCAATCTTTTTGGCCCTATAACAAACAGCAAAAAAATATACATGATCAAATGCAAATCTTAGAATCAACTATTAAAGACTACCAGAACCCACTGGATTCTCCAATTACATTGAATGAACTACAGGACAAAATACAAACCCTCCAACCCAAAAAGGCGTGTGGTATTGATGGTATCCTCAATGAAATGATAAAATATACAGACCACAAATTACAACTGGCTATACTTAAACTCTTAAATCATCCTTAGCTCTGGCATCTTCCCCAATATCTGGAACCAAGGACTGATCACCCCAATCCACAAAAGTGGAGACAAATTTGACCACAATAACTACTGTGGGATATGCGTCAACATCAACCTTGGGAAAATCCTCTGCATTATCATTAACAGCAGACTAGTTCATTTCCTTAGTGAAAACAATGTACTGAGCAAATGTCAAATTGGCTTTTTACCAAATTACTGTACGACAGACCACGTATTCACCTTGCACACCCTAATTGACAAACAAACAAACCAAAACAAAGGCAAAGTCTTCTCATGCTTTGTTGATTTCAAAAAAGCTTTTGCCTCAATTTGGCATGAGGCTCTGCTATACAAATTGATGGAAAGTGGGGTTGGGAGAAAAACATACAACATTATAAAATCCATGTACACAAACAACAAGTGTGCGGTTAAAATTGGCAAAAAACACACACATTTCTTTCCACAGGGCCGTGGGGTGAGACAGGGATGCAGTTTAAGCCACACCCTCTTCAACATATATATCAACGAATTGACGAGGGCACTAGAACAGTCTGCAGCACCCGGCCTCACCCTACTAGAATCTGAAGTCAAATGTCTACTGTTTGCTGATGATCTGGTGCTTCTGTCACCAACCAAGGAGGGCCTACAGCAGCACCTAGATCTTCTGCACAGATTCTGTCAGACCTGGGCCCTGACAGTTCCAAAAAAGGTCCAGTTGCCAGGACCGCAAATACAAATTCCATCTGGACACCGTTGCCCTAGAGCACACAAAAAACTATACATACCTCGGCCTAAACATCAGCGCCACAGATAACTTCCACAAAGCTGTGAATGATCTGAGAGACAAGGCAAGAAGGGCCTTCTATGCCATCAAAAGGAACATACAATTTGACATACCAATTAGGATCTGGCTAAAAATACTTGAATCAGTTATAGAACCCATTGCCCTTTATGGTTGTGAGGTCTGGGGTCCGCTCACCAATCAAGAATTCACAAAATGGGACAAACACCAAATGGAGACTGCATGCAGAATTCTGCAAAAATATCCTCAGTGTACAACGAAAAACACAAAATAATGTATGCAGAGCAGAATTAGGCCCGCTAATTATCCAAATCCAGAAAAGAGCTGTTAAATTCTAAAAGGAAGCGATTCCCAAACCTTCCATAACAAAGCCATCACCTACAAAGTGATGAACCTGGAGAAGAGTCCCCTAAGTAAGCTGGTCCTGGGGCTCTGTTCACAAACACAAACAGACCCCACCGAGCCCCAGGACAACAACAACAACACAATTAGACCCAACCAAATCATGAGAAAACAAAAACATAATTACTTGACACATAGGAAAGAATCAACAAAAAAACAGAGCAAACTAGAATGCTATTTGGCTCTAAACAGAGAGTACACAGTGGCAGAATACCTTACCACTGTGACTGACCCAAACTTAAGGAAAGCTTTGTCCCAACCCCACCTCTGTCTCACATCAGAATTAGACATTCATCCATGTTTCTCAAAAGTCAAATTTCGAAGTTGTTCCAAACGTCAAATGTTTAAGGTTAAGTTTAGGCAATAACTCTGAATGTTAAGGTAAGGGTTAATGTTTGGGATAGGCTTAAAACAAAAATATAAAAATCTATACAAATTCTATCACTGTATTCGAATATACAAAACTTGCAAAAATATACAAAACAACTTTCTATCTCTGGATTTCAACTTACAACCTTTAGAATCAGAGGCAGATGCTTACGCCCATCCGCCATCCCTATCCACAATGCCCTAGCAAAACCGATACCTACTTGAAGGTAACAGTTGCCCCTAGTGGCCGGTTTCCACGTCATCTCCCGACGTTCTCAGACATGGATGGACGTCGAATACTGACTTGTATCACAGGTGACCTGGCTGCTATCAAGCCAAGCTGGAAAATCCTGACAACCTTGTCATACATACTGGGACAAATAACCTGCGCACAAAAGGAGAAAGAGTGGCTAAGTAAGTGAGAAAGGTGGCAGAGAAAGCACACAACCTTTTCCCAAGCACAAACTTTGTTATATCCGCCTTTCTACCAAGGAAAGATCTCCTCTGGCAAATGATCCACAATGTCAACCAAAAAATCTCCATGGACTGTGCCTCACGACCAAATGTCATCATCTCTCATCACCACACCCTGACATGTGAGCACTTGCACGACCATGTGCACCTGGACCATGAGGGAGTCAGTAATCTTTGCCAAGGACCTGAAGGAGTTCCACAATCATACCAGCCCAGCAACAGAGCCCCCCCCCTCCCTGCTATCCAAATAGAGAGGAGGCCCAATCTCATCTCAGCTGAGATGGCCAACAGGAGGGTACCTGTCATACTGACATGCTCTCTGTGCTCCCTCGGGCGTGGCTAGTTACGAGGCAAAAGTATTATCATCACTATGATTTTGTTAGAAAGCTAAAATCACATTCCTATCTTCACGAAAACATTGTCTTCCTCCTTGATATTTTCTACACAACTTAAAGGATGTAATCCTGATATACACAGTGTAAAAGCTCTTAAAGTCACAATGTTTTACATCCATTTTCCATATTCCATTTCTCATCATTCCCAACGTATATTGTCCCAATGTTCATTGTTGGATGTTGAAGTTTTTGGGCCGCAAAAAGTATCTGAAACAAAGGCATCCCTTTCACCATACTAGAGCGCCAGAGATAGATTCTCCTCTCTAATTTATGGCAGTATTAAGGTGTCAAGACCGGCACAGCCCCCTGTGGGTAAGAGGATCTGGTTGTTGTCGGCCATTTGCCAAGCTGATGTGAGACCTTTGATCCTCACCCAGGGAGAGTCATGACACTCCCCCTCTGGTGGTTCAACCTTGGAAGGATTCTGCAAGTTTGCCACCCACCATTAAAAAAATACCACGGGATGTCCTGGTTGTGGATCATCGCTGGGGGCCCGTCGTCCGGTTGTCCAGGCTGGTAGATCTAGGCAGTATCTTACACAGACGTTAACAAACACATCATTACATTTCTTCCCCAAATGGGCAGCGTTGTGGCACTAACTGGTGGTCGTATGGGGAACTTGTTTGTGGCAATATCACTTCCTTAGTGTCAAAGGAAATACAAATTTAAAGAATAAAAACACAACAAAATATATACAAAATATAGTTCCCCCACCTTAATCATCTACTTGGACTCTATTCTATGTACGTCCATGGTCTTGGCTAAATGACTCTATCATGACATTTGTCTAATGTCATATCTAGGGCGATACTACTTGAAGGTACTCTCTAAAATGACACCCTGAATGACAAAGCTTACATTGGTGGCACTACAAGGCTGACCTAGTGAACTATGGGGAAGAAGCTGGGGATGCTGTGGATGGGTCACCTGATGGGGTTTTGGAATCTATTGCCAGTTTTCCGAAAATTGGGATTGCTTCAGTCCCACAGGTGATCCTAGCATAAGACCTCATTAGGTATTCCATTGCGCGTGTGTGCCTGTGTACATAGTAGGTGCACACGCCAAGGGTAATAAGACCAAGGATCATGGTAACAGTCAGGATACTGTCCGGCACCGTCCAAGAGCGGGTGACAGACCAATCTTTTGGCTTATAGCAAATCGGGTCAACTAAAAGTGCCTCATTCAGTACGCTAAGATCAACTGTCCTCGGTCCCTTGTACTGAATTTGGTTTTAAATAGCTGGTGGTAAGCATCAGGCATTTCAATTTCTGTGTCTATCCTGTCGTCAGGAAGTTGGTATAGGGCTAGATCGTCTATGTGGATAATCGCCCCCTCTGGTACCTTAACAAAAATTGTCTGATTGGGGAGGTTCAGTTGGGTGATTGAGTCATGGTGTTCGTAAGTCATAGTGGCGGACATGAATGGGGTGTTAATCAGCCATTGATTCCCTACCACTTCCACTTGTGTGGTGGTGACTCCACCTCTTGCTATTAGTTTGGCTCTACAGCGTTCTTTGGCACTCAGTGTTATCCCTGATGGAGGGTTTGCTAGGACGCAAGTAGTGGACGTCTTTGGTTAGAGTACACATTAACAGGTTAGAGGTGAGAGAGAAATCTGGATTGTGTTCCTGATAAGCTATGACTGGAGGTGTGATGATTTTCACATGGGTGTTGTCGCGCCAAAATCCTACGTTTAGATCTGTTTTCAACCTATTGATATTCTCCAGTTCAACAACCGGCAGCGTCAGTAAAAATCCCACTTCCTTTCGATTAACATCAACGTGTATTGGAATTGCAGACCCCAGACTATAGGCCAGGTGTGACTGTAATGGCTTTATCATGGTTGTGGTAGCTGAGGTCAATAAGTTGTGCACCATTGAGAGGGGCACTAGATATGAGTGGATTATTTTTATGGCCAAGTGGTCCATAGAAGAGCTAACTTCACGGAGAAAATCCTCCAACAACAATCGAACCAATTGGACATGGGCATAGTCATGGTTCATGACCTCTACTAGCTTGCCTACCAACTGGAGGGTTTTGTTCAGGAGAGTAGCGTGTGTGTTTACCACCAGAATAGTGTCCTGGAGAGACCTTCCCACATGCTGCAACCTGAGTGCCTGTAATTGCATCTGTTGCTGGATAAGTGGCATCTCTTCAGTAATCTCCATAACATTTATTTTGACCGTGGCTAGACTGATTGCGTTGGCGGCAGTGGTACCTAGAGCAAATAGGCTGCACCTATTGAGAGTAGCGCCCCGATGAATAGTTTTTCTCGCCTGGGCTCTGCTAGTTCTGACTGGGTGACTGAACTTTTGGAGTTGGGCCAACATGTGGGCAGTGTCTAGCTGAGCGTGCTTAACTGCCTGGGTGGTCCAGTCAGCCCCGGCCCAACTCATATGTGCCGAAGTGGAAATGTGATGGTGGTACACGTTCTCTGCGTCTAGGCGGACGTACACCCTCTGCAAGTGTACTCTGCAGTTGGTTATAAGGAGTCCTGGACATCACGGAGAACGATTCCCGTAGGGGGTCCACTCGTGAGTACATCTACTGGATTGGTTTTGACCAGGGCGCAGAGTGTCAGGATCATCCAAAGCAACCAGAAAAACGCATAATTAGAGATATTGTTTGATTATTTCAGTTGTGTTGTGTTTTGTTCTGGTTTGTTTGAAAGAAAAATGTTTTGACAACAAATGTAGCTGATTTTCCTATTTTGAACAGCACAACGCAGGACAATATTAACAATGACAACGAAATGTGTGTCTTGTAGCTGGGAAGAAAATAAAATATGTTAGGTGCAAAGTACTGACCTCCCGGAACGGATCAGCTGAGGATACTTGAGAATTTTGTTAGTACCTCTGATTGGCTAGGTTTCTATCTATTCGGGGCTGGCTTGTACCCCTTCAATTCTCTTGGGGGGAGTGTACAACTTGATTTGGTTCCTGTGGACCCACTTGAACGTGATGTTCTGTCGACCTTTGCTGATTCTGATTTGATAAGCAACTGGTGACAGCTTTTACACAATCTCATGTGGCCCTGTCCAGTGGGGCAGGAACTTTTTCGCAACGCCCACGGGTTTGGTGTAGACGTAGTACCACACCGTATCCCCGACCTCAAACTCCTGGTGTGAGGCCTTTTTGTCGTAATGGGTCTTGTCACCTTCCGCAGTTCTTTCCAACTTTCCTTGAGCGTACGCAAAGGTAGTCTGGAGGTGGGATCGCAAGTCCGTCACGTATTGATGGGCCGTGTACGCGGTGGCTGAGGCGACATCTCCCGGTTGGTACAGGAGATACAGTGGAAGCGTCATTTGCCGGCCCGTCATCATCTCAAATGGTGTTATTCCCGTAGACCTGTTGCGTGTGGCTCTGATCGCCATCAATACCAGTGGGAGTTTGAGGTCCCAATCTTTGTGGTTGGCTGCCACATTTTTCCTAAAGATTGTGATGATTGTTTGGTTGCTCCTTCCTACCGTGCCGGAGCTCCTAGGGTGATATGCGATGTGGAGTTTAGCTTTGACTCCCAGAAGCTGCCACAGTTCGGTCATTACAGCAGCCGAAAAATGGGTTCCTCTGTCGCTGTCCACGGTTTCTCCTGGCAGGCCGAAATGACTGAAAACGTGGTTGAGCAAAAGAACGGCCGTGGTTTCCGCTGTGTCATTGGGTGCGGGCAGGCACTCCACTCACTTTGTGAATGCGCAAGTCACTGTGAGGAGATACTTGTTGCCTCTTGCCGACCTGGCAACTGGGCCGAACCAGTCGACTTTTACTGCAAGGGTGCTCTGTGAAGTGGCTTGGAGGGTTGAAACTGGCAGCACACTATACACCCCCTCACGTATTTTTCCACATCTTGTTCCATGTGAGGCCAGTGGGTCACCTGTCGCAATGTTTCACATGTAGCCTTGACCCCCCTATTACCCCCCTCTGTGTTTTAGGAACCACCCACCTTTGTGTGGCGTCAGTTTCTGAAACATAAACCAGTAGGTAATCTACAAGTGTGAGGTGCTGTTTAGTTGCGTACAGCGAACGCAAGTCGTGTGAGCCTGCCAAAGCCAGCTCGGACACTGGGTGATTGATAGGATCAGACAAGAAAGCCATGAAAGTGGCGAGGGACTCATCTTGGTGTTGCATTGCTACCAGGTCACCCTTCAAGAATTAATGAGTTAGTAACACATTATGTTCATGCAAAGATGATTCCCACGGTGCTACATGACTACGCCTTACTGCAGACACCATGGGCGCCTCGGTGATCATTGTGTCCTGAGCATCAACACCCAAGGGGTGCCGTGAATTGCACCAGATTTCGTCATGCTGTCAGCATGGTCGTTGCCACGTTTGTCACGACCAGCTGATTTGGAGTGTCCCTTGACTTTTTTCCAAAACACCTGTATGTCGTGTTTGGTTATGAGGTCATCGCAAGCTAGAATGAGCTCTTTGTTTTTCACTTCTTTGCCACTTGAAGTAGTCATGTGCTTTTGCTTCCAAAATGGCAAGTGGCATGAGAAGGTGAATCTGGCATAGTTTGAGTCGGTGCAGATTGCCAGTTCTGACAGTTTGCAGTGTGATAAGTACACCAGCTACTTCTGCGAACTGGCTGGTCTTGTTGCCTAGCTGAAATTGAAGTGGTTTGCACAGAATTTTATTGTGCCATATCAATCCCACACCAGCTTGCAAGTGGTCTAGCTGATGGTAAGAACAGCCATCTACAAATGCCATCGGCATGCCAAGACGTTTTCTTCTAAGTAGTGATGGTTCGATGGCAACGGCAGAGCTACGTCACATGGGGCTGGTGCGAAGTCGGTTTTGTCTTCACCGCAGTGTTGACACACCGCCAAAGCCCCACCCAAAGCCAGGTTTTTCGCTTTTGCGTGGTTGACAATGACATCATGGCTTTGCAGCGTCATGAGACAAGCCGCTATCCTGCTGTTGTGTATAGTACCCTCACGGATTCTTTGGCTTTTCAGAAAGGTCACCGGCTGGTGACATGTTTCTATGATCACCTTTTGTCCGCTGACATAAGAGGTGAAGTGATTGACCGCCCAGACTGTCGACAGCAGCGCTTTTTCGCAGTCTGAGTACTTGTGTTCAGCAGGGTTGAGTGTTTTTCTCACGTACGCAACCACACGTCTGTCTTGGTCGTATTTTTGGTACAACCCAGCACTAAGGCAGTGCACTGAGAAACCTACTTCCAAAAAGAACGTCTTTGTTGGGGTAGACCAGGCAGGGTGCCACACAAAGCAGGTATTTCAAGGAAGTCACAGCTTCATCATGAGTGGCATCCCAAAGAAGACGGGTCAAAGATTTTGACAAGTCGGCATCATTTTTGATGAATTGACGGGAGTAATTACATACTCCCAAGAAGCTGCGTACCTCATGAAGGTTTGCAGGCGTTTTGATGTTGCAGACTGTTTGGATTCTGCTAGATTGTGGCAGGATGCCCTCAGCACCCACCAGAACTCCAACATAGTTGACCTTGGTCTTGCACCATTGTCCTTTCATGATAGCCAGCTTAGCTCCTGCCGTTCCTAGTTGGTTAAGAATGTGGTCCATCTTGTTGAGGTGATGTGACCAAGTCTCGCTCCTCATGAGAACATCGTCCACATAGATTATCGTTCCCCTGGTGGCTGCATCTGGCATTGCCTTGTGCAGGAAGATGTTGAACTCATCGTTGCCCGTTCAGGTATATGTTGAAGTTCATATACCTGAACGGGCAACGATTGAACGTGAAGAGCTTGTTCGAGAAAGATAAAGCCAACTTGTGTTGGTCGACTGTCATGGTCCAGAAACCATTCGCCACGTCGACAGTGGAGAAGTATTTGGCGTTTGTCACCTTTGGCAACTCTTGGTCGAGCTGTGTCAAAGGCCAACGAGACAACGGAACCTGCTTGTTGAGTTGTCTATAGTCAATGGTAAGAAGCCATTTACCTGTTGGTTTCAAAACAGGCCACACGGGAGCGCTATATGTACTGTTACATTCCCTAATTATCTGTTTAGCTAATAGGTAGTCGATAATCTCTTGTACCGCCGAGTACACTGCAAGCAGAATTTTGTATTGTCTCACAAACGTAGGAGCTGCTCCGGGTGGCGTAGGAATACGCACCACATGAATACCCGTAACCCCAAAATCCAGCGAGTCTGTCGACCATATCTCTCTGTGTTTGTTAAATAAGTCCCGCAACTGATGTCTTTCAGTGTCATTAACAAGTGTGTCTGCCTTCGTCAGTAGCATGGAAACTTGGATATGGTTCAGCAGCATTGTACAGGTCTTCATCAGGTGGTGATGGCTTGTCAATAGTGGGGGAATCATTAGCTGTTACGTCATCAGTGTGTACTTCACGTGCAGAAGAAGATGCGGTATCATCCTCCGTGACGATGGAGTATATCAACAGGTCGTTGTCAGAATCGACATCCAGCCTGAACGTTGATGTGTCGTCCAGTGGCAATATGGGAGTTATTGCGATTGCCTTTGATGGACAAGTAAAAAGCATCCCTTCCTCACCACATAGGTCTAGGGAGGAAGGAATAGGCCCAATCACAGGAACAACAAGTTCAAAATCATGGAATGAGTAATCAATCAATGTGCCGAGGAATGGAGATACCCGCTTGAGTCAGATTCTGCAACAAGAGGTAAGTGGATCTAGCGTTTAGCTCCAACAGCGGGTTACCATTGATAGTTAGCCCCAATTCGAATAATTGCGGCGAGGGTTGGAAGAACGCAGTGGTGCCTTCCATCCGGTAGCCGGGCGTCAGGTTCAGTCTTATAGAAACCTCTGTGGTTCTTGCCGGTATCACCACAGTGGACTCAGTTATCATGTTGCAAGCTTCAGGAATAGTCTGCCCGGATGCCATTCGAACAGGGTCGAAAGACAAGGCATGTTGAGCTGGCTGCGCCAAAGACTAAAGAACTTGGTGTATGGCATCGAGTTTAACACCCAATCTCACCAAAATGTCCGCTCCCACATGGACTGTATGCGGGAGGTTCGCTACAACCAATAAGTAGTGAAATACTTCCTTGTTTCCAATGCGGATCGATAGCGCACATACCCCTAAAGCAGTGAGTGTCATCTGGGGAGTCATTCCCAGTGGGAATCTGAACGTTTTCGGAACCAGGGGGTGGCATTTAACTGCTTTTAAAATGTTGTTGAACATTACCAAACTGATTGCAGATTTTTCGGAGCAGGTTTAGGCACACGACACCTATCAGTGGAGGGCGGTATGTATCGGCTGGTGATTCACCCATGCTACATAGGGAAACCTCATGTTCTGTTAGTTTCCAAGTTGAACTAGTCACCCTGTCATTACCAAGTTTACTGGGGGTATGTCAGTTGACGACGCCGAACCGTCGTCGTCGCATAACGTATTGCATGTTGCCTTCGATGAAGGCGGTGGTGTCAGTGGAGTTATTGCGATTTGTGACCAGATTTGGTTGGATTTCCAATCCATGAGTGGTACCAAACGGTCTATTAAATCCATCCCAATCAGCATCTGCTCGGTGTCAATGCTAGTCACGTACACAGAGTGGACAAGTGACATGCTTTCGAAGTTCAGTTTTAGTAGGATACACTTGGTAAGAGGCGAGGTAGCCTGAGTGAAA